GTATTTGTCCGGCATGGACATCACGACAAGTACCTCCGGGTAGTTGACCGGCAACGATATCACGACAAGCAACTCTGGGTATTTGTTCGACATGTACACCACGACAAGTACCTACGGGTATTTCTCCGGCATGTATATCACGACAAGTACCTCCGGGTATTTGTCCGGCATGGACATCACGACAAGTACCTCCGGGTAGTTGACCGGCAACTATATCACGACAAGCAACTCTGGGTATTTGTTCGACATGTACACCACGACAAGTACCTCCGGGTACTTGTCCGGTATGTACATCACGACAAGTAACCCCGGGTACTTGTCCGACATGTACATCACGACAAGCATTTCCGGGTATTTGTCCGGAATGTACATCACGACAAGTAACTCCAGGTACTTGTCCGGCATATACATCACGACAAGCAATTCCGGGTATTTGTCCGGAATGTGCATCACGACAAGTAAGTTCGAGTATTTGTCCGGCATGTACATTACTACAAGTAACTCCGGGTATTGTCCGGCATGTACATCACTACAAGTAACTCCGAGTATTGTCCGGCATGTACATCACTACAAGTAATTCCGGGTATTGTCCGGCATGTACATCACTACAAGTAACTCCGGGTATTGTCCGGCATGTACATCACTACGACTAACTCCGGGTATTTGTCCGGCATGTACATCACTACAAGTAACTCCGGGTATTGTCCGGCATGTACATCACTACGAGTAACTCCGGGTATTTGTCCGGCATGTACATCACTACAAGTAACTCCGAGTATTTTTTCAACTCTAACTACGTTAAACATTCAAGTATTTTTGTCGTATAATAAAGGACTATCTGCGCATAACTATCCTAATTTTAAACTAATAAACTAGAGGGAAGGTATTAGTCAACAGCACCCTCCGCCAACTCTTATCTGATCAAATAATGGAATGCGTTTTTGCGGCAAAGGACTGTAAGCCTTGAACATTCGCACTTGCAGCTCGGGCATGCTAAACATTGGGCCACGCCCAGCCCAGTTTTTTTAAATTCCAACAATTATGTTACTTTAAAATTGAGCACTGGCGTTGGATATACTAATATGCGTTTTATGTAAAATAAGTGTATTTTTCTAACAGTTTACTCCATTCTTTGATAGATTGTTTAGGCAGAGTATTCATGATGAAACTTTGTAGAATGGACGGCAACTGCCTGTTGTAGAGAAACAAGTGTAGAGGACGACGTTTCGAAAGTCTTCCGCCTTTCGTCTTCAGGTCAGTGTGTGTAAGCTGTTGTCGGTCTTTATAGTATTGTGGAGAGCGTGTTATGATTAGTTGGTTTATCCCTGTTTCTGATTGGAGGAGAGATTTCCTGTAGATTCAAATCGAGGTTCTCGCCTCTAATCCGGAATCTCTGTTTAGTGAAGGTTTAATTGTTAATTTAAAATGATTATTTAATTTTTCTTGTCTTCCAAAATTTGTCTATGTCGATGATTCTAGTTTTTCCAGTTGATTTTGTGTCCATTTGACATGGTGTGTTCTGCAATGGCTGAATTTTGTGGTTTCATGTGCCTTGTACTGTCTTTATGTTCTTTTATTCTTGTCGCGAGTCTTCTTCCCGTTTCTTCAATGTATGTTTCGTTGCAGGAACACGGAATTTCATAAGTGACGTTTTGTGTTTCTCATTGGTAGGTTGCTGTTTGTTTTATACCAGAATAGACCTTAATGTCTTGTAGGATTTCCAACGGACTTCTATGTTGGATTTCTTGGCTATGCGTTTGAGTTTTTCACTGAAATTTTGCAGGTAGGGTAGGTAAATGGTAGTAGTGGTAGTGTTTTTCTGATCTTTTCTTTCTGTTATGATCTTCTTCAGGGGGTTTTTGATGAAGGAGGAGGTGTAACCATTCTGTTTAAAACCTCTACGATCTTTTGGCATTTTGTTTCAATGGATGTCTTATCGCAAATGTTTTATGCTCTTTTGTTAAGGCATTGGATAATGCCACGTTTTAGCTAATTTGGATGATAAAACTGGAAATGTACGTATTTCTTTGTGGTTGTGTAAGTTTTCTGTATACAGTTGTGGTGATTTTTCTCTCTTGTCTGCTGATAAGTATGTCAAGAAACGGTGGACTATTTTGATCCTCTATTTCCCTGATGAAGTGAATATTCTTGTCTGTGGAATTAAGGTGGTGTAAGAAGGCTGTTGGGTTTTCACGACCGTAGGACCAGATAACCAAAGTGTCGTCAACATAACGTCTGTAGAAACTTGGTTTTATACGTGTGGATGAGAGGACTCTTTCTTCAAAGTCTTCCATGAACATGCCGGCTAAGATTGGAAAGAGTGGTGATCCCATGGCTAAACCATCTGTTTTTTCGTAGAATTCCTCATTGTATTGGAAATAAGTTGATTGTAGGCAAATAGTCGTTAGTTCCATGATGGCGTCTACCTTCATGTCGGTTCTGTGTGGTATAGAGTTGTCTTTCAGCAGTCGTTGTCTGGTGATACGAAGGGTTTCTGAGGTCGGAACATTGGTAAATAGTCGTTAGTTTCATGATGGCGTCTATCTTGATGTCGGTTCTGTGTGGTAGAGAGATGTCATTCAGTAGTCGTTGTCTGGTGATACGAAGGGTTTCTGAGATCGGAACATTGGTAAATAGTCGTTAGTTCCATGATGGCGTCTATCTTCATGTCGGTTCTATGTGGTAGAGAGTTGTCATTCAGTAGTCGTTGTCTGGTGATACAAAGGGTTTCTTAAGTCGGAACATTGGTAAATAGGTCTGTGACGTCAAAGCTGACTAGAATATCCTGAGATCTGATGTGTGGTTTTTTTAGTTGTTCTATGAAATCTGTTGAGTTGTGAATGTGATATTCGGTATTCCCTCATATTGGAGATAAAACAGATACCAGGAATGTTGCTAGTTGATGGCAAGGTGAGATTATAGCACTAACGATAGGCCTTAATAAAGTAATTTAGATTTAGTTCAATGTTTTTTTTTGGTGATTACAAGGTTGATCAATATGACCAACTTAGTGAGGGTAAAGAAAATAACAGATCAAATATAAAGTTTTACTGAAGAAAAAAATGTTTAAAATTCAATTAGCAAGTTTTAGAGATTATGCAAATGAAATTAAAGATTTTTCAGATGAAGTAAGTTATGGAAAATAAATATGACTGATAACAATGGAAAATCATCATTAGCATAAAGCATTTTCAGTGTTTGCTCTAGTCTCTGATTTCTTTGAGTCCTGAGGACCCCCCAACACTTAAAAAAAAATGAAGTGCTATATATTTTTTTTTACATAAAACATAAAAACATCAGGAGTTTTAATTTTCTCATCAATTTCTTACTATTTATAGTAATATTTAAATGTTTTCTACATTACTTTGACTTCCCTATGATGTTTTCTTTGCTTTTCCAACCAGTATAAATAGTGTCAAATCCAAGATAATTTGTTTTGTGGTGAATTCTGTAAAACTGTACAAAACATTTCTGATTCAATAATCCCAGGAATCTTTATGAAGCAAAATGCAGACAGAAGTTAAAATTTGTTGATTTTCATGTAACAATTGTGTTAATGATAACATTAGTTTTGCCTGCTTCAAAGAACTTTGTTTTTCTCAGTGTTTTTAAATTTAAACTAAAGGAAAAACAAATTTTTTTGTAAGCTAAAAATTAAGGGCTAATAATTTTTTACTTAGATTTAAAGACTTGTCTGTTATGATTTGTGTCATGAAAGTACACTTGATGAGAAGAAATTACATTTGAATACTGAAGAATTATAGCTTATGTGAAAGTTGCTCATATGATTAATGCAAAAAGTAATGATATTTAACCAAATATCCGGGACTGATCCTGTATTGAAGAAGGAACATTGAGTTCAATTCTGAATTTACTAAATATACGTACACAAGCTTTTAACCAAATGTACAAGTCTGTTGTACAAAAAAGTCAGATGTGTTTTAAAAGTATTTGTACTCAAGATGTGTCTGTGAATTGCCAATGTCAGTCTAACTCAGACTCTGACAAGTTGCAGTGCAAAGTGGTGCCCATATTTTTGTTCATCATACAGTTTAAATGCTGTATTTGCATAATCTCTAGAACATCTGAAATGAATATCTACAATTTTTTTCAGTATTCCTGTATATTGTATCTGGTATTTACTCTACTTTACCACAAACTATCACTAAATCAGTAATTTAGGGTTAAATGAATAGCTGATATGTCTGACATCAAATACATAATATCATGTTGGATGGCACTGTGTGGAAGATCATGGCATGAACATTTTGACTCGCACTTGTGCACATAGGTTTGATAGCAATACTGGATAGTAAATTAACATAAATTAGTTAACATTCTATAGTAACTATGAATAAGATTGTAATTGGTAAAGTTTGTGTGATAAGTTATTATTATATCACTGTTTAACTTTTTAGAATTCAAGAGGACCATGAAATAATGTCTTTTACATGTGATGACACAGGAAGACTAGCCATGTTAAATGTAGCTACTCAGGTGAGTGAGAACAAGCACAGATTTCTGCAGTTTGATGTTTTCAATTTCTTAATAACCAACATATTATTGTCTACAGAAACTCGCAGACAAAATCATCAGTAGCTAAAGTATTAAAAACTTCAATGATTTAGTGTGAAGTATGTTCAGAAAACAGTTTTCTGATTGCATAATAATGAAAATATACATGTGTTTATCATGTATCATCATTATTATATTTGAGAAGCCTTACATTTCTGTGTGGAATGGTCATTGTTTTATGTATTACATAAAGATTTTGACTTTAGAATATAAAAAACTTAAATACAAGTCTTATTCTTATGCTTGACCTAACTGTTATTTTTATTTTACAGTGTAGGATTGTTAGTTGTATGGAACTGGGTAAAATTATTTAGCCTACTCAAGTTTTACTGATGTGATGTTATTCTTTGAAGTCATTTGTGAGTTCTAGAAGACAAAATCCTAATTAGAAAGTTCAAAACAATATCTAAAGCAGTTATTTAATCTTCATCTGTTTTGTTTTTGTAGGGTGTACACTTGTGGGATCTGGAAGACAAAGTTCTAATTAGAAAGTTTCAAGGAATTACTCAAGGCTATTATTTAATTCATTCGTGTTTTGGAGGAACGAACCAAGTTTTTGTTGCTAGTGGAAGTGAAGGTAGGAGACATAATGACCACAGGGCACACTTACTGGTCTTTACATTCTCACAGTGAAAATACCTAACCAGATTACACAAAACTTGGCATATTTTCTAAATGCAGAGATTGAGTATGTTATATTAAAACTAATTTGGAGTTTCACTGTATTGTTATTGTCCATATTGCCACGACAGTCGTACTTTATATGAGGACCTTGTATCTTGACAATAGCCCTCCATGAAGCAGGTCAAATTAACCAATTACTTATGAGTAGCAATTAGTTGCTGCTTGTAAGAATTGCTTAATTGAAGTTAGTGTTTCCGATGAGTATTGTTTTTGATTATTGCAATAATCGATTAATCAAAATTGTGATTAATGTCATGAAAATACAACTAATTGAAGGGAAGCAACTGGCTGACAGCACCTACTGACATCTTTCTGGCTACATAAGAGTTAAATAAAGTATCTAATTGCTGTTAAGTGCCAATTAGAGGGAAGTCAACTGGTTGGCAGCACCCACTGTGAACTCTCTGGCAACTTCATTGTTAAATAAAAACTATCTAATCACTATAAAGTGTAAATTTATGGTTTCTTTTTGTTTTTTTACATTGTGCTATGTTTCTAATGTTACTTGGTAACTATATTATTTAGTATTGCATAAGCAGGCATGGATCTAGGGGAGGGGGTCAAGGGGTCTGGACCCTACCCGTTATTTCCCAGAAATGAATAATTATTCTTTAATGTCATATTAGCAGTCAAGGATCTATGAGAAGGGGTCTGGACCCCTTCAGTTTTTTAATAAATTAAGAACTATTATAATATACCTTGATTTCCACTTTATGAATCATTTTAACACTTTCATGACGGGCATATTTTTTGAGCATGTCATGATGTTTTACTGAGTTACATTCAAAACTTAATGAAATTACTTTCTTGTCATGGAATAAACTTTGCATAAAAACATAGCTAATAATCCAATTTTAACAGTATATATGTTTTAAGCTCTTAATTTTATAAGGCACTATTAAAAAAAATTCTGAATTTCCCTTATTATGAGAATTATGATATTTTCTCACTAGGCATCCCCTCTTCTCTAACTTATGTATCACCTCTAAAAAGTATGAAATACAAATTAAATTACTCATTATAACATTGTCGTTGCTTAGGCAAAACATAGTTTTTTTATAGTCTTCAATTTTATTTGGTTACAGACTCAGAAAATAGAAAATGAAACCCTCTTGCCACACTCACTTGTCACAATCCTCTCTTTCAGAAATTGCCAATAGTTCTATCTGACATTTAATACTAAATTATGTATAACAAACAGAAAACCAAGGTCTTAATCTATCAATTTATGTATTATATTACATTGTTTTTTGTACAGAGAATTCTTTAGTTCACTTTCAGTTCAAACTTTATTTCCACAGGAAACACATCAACAAGTTTAGCTGAATTTTTAATTGCTCTTGTGGCATAGTTAGAAAGCTAGAAAATTGTGATAGATATGGAACATTGTCTGCTTTTTGCATGTGATTATTCAGTGTTTTTTGGACACTTTTTAGGTTAGATGAGGTAAAATAAAAAATAAATAAGAAAACATTTTCCTGAGGTACACTCATGAGCAATTCAATAGGGTAATGTGAGCTACATGTTTGCCAAATGATTTAAAACTTATGTCACAAATTAGTTAGACAGATTCAAAGGGCAATAAAACAGTAAAATTTAAGTATAAACAGATGTATACTGTTATGCATTTAAAGCTATTTAGGATAAACAAATGTAGTTTCATGTTACAATTTGAAGTCATTCTAGAAAGAAAAAAGGGTGTTTTAGATTTATTTCAATTTCCTTTTTAGTTGTTACAAGGTTAGTAAAATTGACCAGTCTTGTATAGTTTGAGTAGAGAAAATAACAGATAAAATATACAATTTTACTGAGAAAAAAACGTTTTAAATTTATTTAGTAAAATTTAGAGATTACACAAGTGAAATTTGAGATTTTTCAGATGAAGAAAAGTATTTTTAATCTTAACATGAAAATCATTTTGCCTTCAGAGCAGTCAACACTTTGATTCTATATATTTATGAAGAAATATTAATTGAAAACACTTTATAAAAAATTCTGATTCTTTGTCTACAAAAGACTTAATGCTTGCTGAAAGCTTAAAAAATTTCATGAAGATACACAAAACAAAGAAGTTATAATATGGAAGCTATAAGCTGAATCGACTTAGCCCCTAGTGAGGGAGTTATTATCTGCAAAGAGGACATTTAGTATCACCATCATCAGAAATTTTGCCAAATATTAAACATTGTACTTCCTTTTTTTTTCTAGGATCAGAATGAATTTATTTTCACTGAGTTATATATTATCAGACTGTACAATACTGAGAAGAATCTTTTATAGTTTTATTGTATGAAAATTAAGGAACAAGGAGAAAGTTCCATCTTTCGAAAGCACTCAAGTTATATTCTCATTCTATATTGAGACTTCTTGAAGCTACGTAGGTATTTTTTTGACACCTTTTTTCTACTCAAGAGTAGAAATACATAATTAAATTACACGAAACTTAGGAGGAACATACTAAGTATTACCTGGTTTTAAATTTGAAAAATTAGTGTAAATTCTTTTTGTCGAATTCCCCGATGATGAACCATCCATCGCCAACAATACCTAAGACTACCCTTTGAGTTCGGGGACCGGTAGGAGTACAACTGTTGGACTGTCTTACTCACTGGTGTCTCTTTGTTGAAGATCAATGGGTGATGCGGAATCTATCAGAAGAATTCACTCTCCAGTTTCTTTTCCCTCCTCCTCTTTCTCCTTGCCCCATTCCCCTCGACATGGATTCCTGTATTTGGTGAGGGGATCTCCCAGAGAAGATTCTGTATTTTCAGTTTATCTCCTCTGGGATCTGGACATCCACCCAAGTGTTTGCCCTACTTGGTGATCCGTTAAGGGGAGGAGAGGATTCTGGTAGTTGAGTGGTGACTGAGGCACTGCAACACACCACTTTGGCCTTGAATTCCCATAGATGGGTGTCCTCCAAGGGTCAATCAGCTGGTCCTGTTGGGCTAGGGTCCACTGAGTTCCAGTGTTAGATGTTCTCAATGGGTGTTGTGGACATTGTGTCTGAAGCTGGTGTTTGGGTATAGTGCTCACGAAACCTTGGTGTTGCTGCAGTGTCCTTGTTTGGCATTGTAGTTCATCCTCTCATAAGACTCCTTGTTGGGTGGGGGTCAGTGAGCACTGAATCTTTCTCTTTTTATTATAGATCCCACAAATCCTCAAGAAATAAATTAGTAAAAACTCCACTCATTGGTAAATTACTATGCCTAGAAGACTGAACAGAGTCTTCACCCCATTCTGTACTTGTACCTCGTTTTCTGATCTTGCACTTCTTTGTCAGATAAATCTTTAGGGCAAATATCAGAAGGGATTAGAGGGGCTTGCTGGCTCTCCACAGTCAGTTAAGAAGCTATGTTCTGGGGACATCTTGGTGGAAATATATACACCAAAACACAGTGAACTCCTCTTGAAAACCGAAGGCCATTGGGAATATACTCATTGAGGTTACAACATGCAACTTTGAATTCCTCACGAGGAGTTATTGTTGCGAGGTATTTGAAGAACATCCCGGATTTGGAGATTCTCGCTGGTTTCTCCAGCCAAGGAGTTTCTGCAGTGCGATGTATCTCCACTCGTAAAGATAGAATTATGATGCTTACCAGTGTTCTCATTTTGACATTTACATCGCCACGTCCACCTGCCACTGTCAAGGCAGGTTATTTGAACTGTAAGGTATGACCATATATTCCCAGCACTCTCAGATGTTTCCAGTGTCAGCAATTTGGTCAATTGAAGGCATCTTGTCGTGGTTCTGTGACGTGTGCTCGTAGTGGTAGCTAGGACCACGATGCCTACGAGTGAGAACTGGACCCTAACTGTGTTGATTGTAGTGGTTCCCACCCCTCTTACTATAGACCTTGCCCTAAGAGGGTGGAGGAGAAAGAGGTACAGCATTTAAAGACTGTCAACAACATTTCTTACCCTGAGGTTCAGAAGTTATTGTCGTATACTCCATCTCGGACGTATCCCACTGCACTACGCTCCACTGCTGTGGTGGGAGTGCAGACAGACCTTTATATGCCTCCATCAAAGTCTTTTGACCTCAATGGATGATCGAGTTGACAAGTCCACATCTACTCTTGTCTCTGTCCCCACCATTCATTCCAGTGACTGCACGGACAATCAATCATTCATGCCCTCAGTCGCTGGAATCTAAGTCTGATGACAGAGCTTTGCCCACTATACCATGATAAAGAAAAATGGCATAGTCGTAAACAGAAGGGTACTCTGCCCAGTTCTCCTCCACCTGCATACAATTGGCCACTTTGATACAGTGTAACTGTCGAGGTTTTCGTTTTAATCTCAATCACAGGCTCAGTCCCTGGGACCAACCTCATAACTATTTTGTGCTTGTTATAGTTTTCATGCTACAACTTTTAAGTTAGTAAGTGAATGTTAACAAAATTTGGCAGATTATCAGTAAACACACAATGCTTTCGTACTCAAAGTATCAAATTTTTTATTAATTCTAAGGTTTATAAAGCAATGAATTTCACGTCTTTTTTTTTATTTTCGCATGTTGCCTGTCTATTATTCTAAGTAATATTCATTTTAAGATTAAAAATACTTTTATCAATCAGAAAATTGTGAAATTTCACATGCAAAATTTTTATAATGTTGAGATAGTTATCAAACATTTCTTTAAAAAAACTTTATATTTTATGTGTTATTTTCAGTAATGAATGTCTGTACAGGTTTGGTAGATTTGACCAATCCCGTAACCACCATAAAAAAGTAGGAAATAAATTTATATTATGCCTCTTTCATTCTAGAATGAACACAGTTTATTACACGAAAACATAAATGTTTCGACTAAATAGCTTACATCTCATAACATTATACATTTATTTATTTTTATTATATTGACTTTTCAGCCATGCCTGGCTAAAA